CCTTTGAGCAATTCCCCAAAATGCACTCCCGTCGGCCATATTGGAGGGCTGTTATAAACAAGCCATACACGAAGTCTATTCGTGGGCTGTTATAAACAAGCCATACACGAATGGCTTGTTTATAACAGCCTTCCAATATGGCCACCGGTAGTGCATTGTGGGTAATTGCTAAAAAGGACGGAGCCCTCCATTGTCCTATTTTGCCGGTTGGCAGTTGGCAAAGCAGCTGAATGGTGCACTGGCGCCATCAACTGTTGATGTATTGCCACTGCAAGAAAACATGCACGGCGCTACACTTGAGCTAGCTTGTGCTACAGAATGTGTTGGTCGTCCTCAGCTGATAGTTCCTGGCAGATAAAGATTAAATAACCCTTAAAACACAGAGTCATATTAATAACAATGAATAAATAGCTTCGAAAGACGGAAGAGAATTTTTGAGCAGGTATTGAATTTGTTCTAAATGTTACGCTTGCGTTTATCTTCTCATTTTAAAAGGATGGGTCCCCAGAAGAAACTGAGAGCGGCGTGACATACGCTACTGTGAACCTGAAGAAGAAGAAGAAAAAGGAGGAGGAGAACGGAAAAAAACAGGCCAGTGATGCAGACTCGGTTTCAACCTCAACTTCATCCTTCACTGCCGCTTTCCCGAAATCCAAATGAGGATTTCTTGCTTTCCCCATCTTGCTTTTATTTTGGGATCGTCACATGATAGTATCCCCATTTATTTTTCCAGTTTTGGTATTTTATTTGATCTTTTCATTTCCTGATTTTATTTTGGGATTCCATCTTGATTTTCATCATAAACAGGGACAGGGGAATTTGCAAAGCTGTGAGGGTAATTGTAAACCTTGTTAAAAACTTCCGGTTGAACACACACAGAGCAGCAACACATACAAACATCCATGGGAAAATATTCTTACTTCGAGTGGGAACAACAAATGCAGTAAATTATCTTTTTTTTTCTGGTTCCAGTTTAAAGCTAAAGTATAGGTTGATAAATAAAGAACTTCAGAGGTTTATTTGGAGGGGAAAAAAAAAACTTATCCTGAAAAGGTATTTCACAAACATCTGTCATTTCATCAAAAAAACCTTAAGCTTACCTGGCCGCTAAATTCATGTTTGTGGCTGCGCAGGTGGCTGAAGAGGGAGAGGAGGTGGTGACCTACGCCGCCGTCAGGACACCGGCCAGGATCCCGCCTCAGCAAGATGGCAGCCAGTGAAAAGACAATCAACAGGAAAGGACATGAAGGTGTCATGTCAACAAAGTTAAGGAGCGCCAGCCTTATCGACACACAAACACCAACACGCGCAGAAACACACAGTTTGCGGCTGTCATCGAGTTGGAAAGACGACTCATTTGAATATTTATTCTGCGTTTGTCTGCTCAAACTCGTTATTCTTCAAATAATGGTGACTTTTCATACAACTAAATCCCTGGCAGAGGAAACATGTTTAATGTTTAACACTGAAAAAATACCGCAAGTGATCTTTGAACCGCATGCGATTGGCTTTATGGACTTTTGATTCCATGACAAATCAAAGAAATAAGCAGCCAGTCAAAGTCGTAGGAAAGTAAGTGCGAGTGAAAAGACGATCATTTCAAATAGCACTGAGACCGTGGGAAGGAAATGAAGATGCTTGCTTTACATGAATGGAAATTAAGTTAAGTTCAATTCACGTTTAAAAAAACCCCCCCCCCCCAGCCCCCTTTTTGGGTTTTTTTTTTTTTTTTTTTATGAGTTGGGCAACCTTATGTGTCACACTGACTTCCAACTATGAATAACTTTTTCTGGCAAAGTCACCCCGAGCAACACATATATAAACAACATATATAAAAAGTCTACACACCCATGTTCCCACATTTGTTTGGGAGGTTTTGTTTGGGTCGGGGCAGCCCAGTGGTCGACTGGTAAACGCGTCGGCCTCACAGTGCAGAGGTACAGGGTTCTATTCCAGCTCTGGCCTTCCTGTGTGGAGTTGGCATGTTCTCCCCGGGCCTGCGTGGGTTTTCTCCGGGTACTCCGGTTTCCTCCCACATTCCCAAAAACATGCATGGCAGGTGAATGAAACACTCTAGATTGTTCCTCGGTGTGAGTGTGAGCGCGGATGGTTGTCGATGTGTGCCCTGCGATTGGCAGGCAATCAGTTCAGGGTGTACCCCGCATACTGCCCGATGACAGTTGGGATAGATTCCAGCACGCCCCACGACCCTTGTGACGATAAGCAGATCAGAAAATGGAGTCTGATGAAAGCAAGGTTGAAACATTTGGACCTAATTCCAAAAAAATGTAGCTACTGTGATGCATATTACTGGCGGTGTCATGAACAGGGACTGCAACTGGCAGGTTGAAACATTTGGACCTAATTCCAAAAAAATGTCGTAGCTACTGTGTTGCATGTTACTGGCGGTGTCATGAACAGATACTGCAACTGGCTGGAGGCAATTATGATCAGATCCAAATAGCAGTCAGGTTCACAAAAAAGCTTCAGATTTCTGCAGGAGAGCAACATGTCAAGGAAAGCCTACTAGATCATCTTAACTTGATTTGGAGTTAATGGAGGAGAGGGGGGGAGACTTTAAATGTTAACATTTGTGTGCTGCTGGCTCATGTAGAACTTGAGTTGCAATTCAATTGGTGCATTCGACACAACCCCAACTGTGGCTGGCAAAGGTGTGCACGCTTGTGCAACATTTTCATTTATTTTTACTTCCCTCCTTGAAAAAGAACATTTTTGATGAAGTTTGATGAGAGATAATGTTACCCTCTTTGGGTTTTTTTTTTTTACATTTGAACAGGGGTGTGTAACCTTTTCAAAGCCATTGTATGTATATATTTTTTTCTTGACAGCTGTGAAAATAAATGCTTTCTTTTTGGGGAAAATAAATGTACCTTTTTCTCAAAATAAACACAGTCCTGAAAAAATTATTTGAAATGCTCAACAATTTAACATTATGGCGTAAGAGTAAACACCCTTTGAATGTTTCCACAGTGAAGACACTTGACAAATGCGTTTAATCAACTTTATTCACCAAAGGTCTCAAACAATTTAAACGCATATGGGACATTACACGCTATTAGCATCTACTGGATATAAACATTTGTGCAAAGATTACAGAGTCACAAAAAACAATGTGCGTGGTTATTAGCTGTGTGATTAAAAAAAAAGTAATTGCTGGGAGATGATTGCAAAAAAAAAAAAAAAAAGAAAAGCGGCCATGACGTTAGCTTGCTAGCTGGCTAGCCGGCAAGGGAGACGGCGCGAAGCTTGTGTGGCGCGGGGCTGAGCGTGCCGCCCACCATCGGGGTCAAGTCCAGCTCGTCCTCGGGGACCCCCGCGGGGGGGCGGAAGCGGAAGTGCTGCAGCAGCGTGACGAAGAAGACAAAGAGCTCCATGCGGGCCAGGCTCTCTCCCAGGCAAACCCTGCGACCTGCAGCGCAGCAAGCAGAGGGCCATGCCGTCAGCCAACCATTATTGGTTTATTTTTAAGAATATTCAAACTACTCTCTATACATAAGATAAAATAGTGTCAATTTCTGCCTAGCAACAAGTGACGGCGCAAGTCTGCCGTTTGCCGCACCTGCCGAGAAGGGCATGAAGGCGTCGTGCTTGACGAACTTTCCGTCCTTGTCCAGAAAATGCTGGGGATGGAAGGAGTGCGGCTTCTCCCACACGCTGTCGTCGTGCAGGACGGACGTCAGGAGAGGGTACACTGTCGTGCCCTAGGTGACAGGGGGGAGGCATTTTTAGCAGCGGTGGGATGTAACCAACAACAAATATTCGTTGGTGGTACTTTTTCAGGTATCTCTACTTGAGTATTCAATGTTCAGACCATTTTTTAACTCGATACATTTGAAAATGAATCTCCGCTGACCTCTATTTTTTGTTGTGTCCTATCATTGAATCTGGGATCTTGTTAAAAATTCATTTCAAATTATTACTTTTTTTTTTTTACTTTTGTACTTGAGTACATTTCAAAATCTGTGCTGTTTTTTTTACTTTAGACTGTCTAAAGCGGATTCAGGGACTGAGTTGAGTTGATATTCACCGTTTTAGTTTTCCTGTTTGCTTTTTAGGGGTAGGGGGGCATCAAAAACCGCACTTGAGCATCTGGCACGAGTCGCCTCACCACCGCTGCATTCGAAGTTGATCACCTTTGTTCCTGCCGGTGGCTATCTGGCACAACTGCAACGCACACTTAGCTAGCTATTTATGCCAATGCTTCCCTTCAGATAGACTGCTGTTGTGGTTGCTTTAGAGTGCCTCGTTGTCAGCTGCAAGGGCACACAAGTGCTCATCATGCACACAGATGAAAGTAGGAATGAGATTTTTTCCCCCCCTAAAGTAAGACTTGACTACTAACAAATTGACCGCATTTTCCATTTTGCTGACCTTCTTGATGAAGTAGCCGTGGAAGGTCACGTCCTGGCTGGTCCGGTGAGGGAGCGCCATGGGAATGATGTTGGCGAGCCTCTGCGTCTCATGGATGACGGCGTCGGTGTAGGGCAAGTTCTTGCGGTCTTCCACCTGGACCTGACGATCTCCGATCACTTGGTTCAGCTCCTCTCGGATCTTCTCTGCGGGTTCACAAAAATGAGCAGGGTAAGTGTAACTCACTTTGTAACCAAGTAGACGGTACTTGATCATCTGCGTGTTCTTCCGTCTTTCTACTTTCAATTGGCAATCAAACATCCCAACGTGTAAAGTGACAGATTATTGAGTTGCTTTTTCTTTTTTTTTTTTTTTTAATCCAACACAAACATGGGAGGAACACCTGATTTTCCTAATGTCACGGTGCCCTCAAGTGCTTAGCAGCTGTGATCTGCTCAACGGGTAGGAGCTCTTAATCTTGAAATTATTACTGCGGAGGAGAGAAAAGGAAAAGAAGGAGGCAAAGCAGAACATGAAACAGACAAGCCGTGGTTTGCGTTATTGGTTCAAGAAAAGTCCCAAATCAAATTGATAGCCAAGTGGACAAAGAAGGATGCAAGTCCCTCTGTGGACAAACTTCAAGAATAAAACTAACTAGTTATGTACATGCTAATGTTATGATGCTCATATGTTTTAAATGTTTAAATGTCATGTTAGCCTGGAGGTTAGCTTCGTCGTTAACTAGATTTTGCCACGTTTTAGGGTGTCCAAGTGTGACTTTTTTTTTATTTTTATTAAACACCATTCAGGACATGACCCTAGCAATTAGCTCAACATGCTAATGATAACGTAAAATGCAATCTGTCAACCTCAAGTACCATGTGTTCTATAAATGTGTTGACATGGAGCCAAACTAGCAACCTTAGCCTAGCTTAGCATAGCTTAAAGTGTGCTTGAGCAATGTGGTCATTTTGTTGAGGGGGGATAAAGGCCTACTTCTTAGCTAGACGAGAAAACAAATGAATGTTATAATGTGATAAAGTTAATGGTTTGATGTAATAAATTCAATCTAATAATTTGATAAATTATCAGGCTCAAATGGGATCAGTTTAATTTCTGCATTTGCCAAAAAATAAGCAATTCATTTCAGTTCAGCTCACTCGTGCACCCCTTTTATGGGTATGTTTGTCTTTTAAAACTTAAATATTTTTTAGTAATTATTTTTATTCATTTAACAGTTTATAGTTGGCGTGGCTAGTGACTTTGATAAGACACAAAACAGTCCGCACGTGAGCTGAACCAGAAGGAGCTGCTTTAGTTTATGAGCGGGTAAAGGTAATGGATGATGGTTTCCCAAGTGCGTAAGCCATTTTCACACATTAAAACATGAAACTTGTCACATTAAGATGTGAAATAAATAACGTTGTAAGCTTCCGCATTTTCACGCATTGATGGCGTGACTGTTGGCTTTTGAGGTTTTCAACCTGGTTTCAAGACCTCAATCCAAAGACGGGATACGGAGGAAGAGAATCTGCCGTGTGAGTTACGCAGGGACTTCGCTTGCTGCTGTTGGCCTTTTTAGAGTTAAGTGAATGAGGCAAAACTTCAAACAAGTCAACATTCAGTTTGGGGCTATGATTAAAAAAAAAAAACAACAACCGATGCAGAGGTGGCACACTGTTCTTGTTACCTTGTATGTGGGGATACTTGGCCATGAGGAGGAGCGCCCATCTGAGCGTAGTGGAGGTGGTTTCTGTGCCGGCAGCAAACAGGTTGGAGACGGTCATGAGAAGGTTCGCATTGTGGAAGTGACCCACATCCCCGGTGTCCTGCGCACGGGAAAATCAATCACTCGACTTTGCTAGCCGTTGAGAGTTGTCACGTTAGGTTGCGCTGCGCCACCTCCTGCTGCTGCTGTCGGAGGAGGAAAGCGTCCACCAAGCCTCGGCTGCTCTGCGGGTTGAAAGTCTCCTTCAGAGCCTGGATCAGTTCCGTGGCCTGCTTCCGGTTGGCCTTCCCCAGATTGTGGAGCTCCTCCCTGGCCGAGGAGAACCACTTGCCGAGCCACGGGAACATGTTGTACAACTGAGGAATAGCAACATTTTGACGCAGGCCTTGAATCGATCTGGTCTGCGGCAAAATCACGTTGTGTGGAAAAGGACGGCACTCTACCCACCAGCAAAGATGGGCCGCCCACGATTTGAATGCTTCTGCTGGTGCGCTGCACCATGGCGGTGAAGGCGGGGTCGTCGTACCGGAACCTGCTGCCAAACACCAGCGAGCAGATGATATTGGATACGGCGTAGTTGACCGGCTGCTGCGTGTCGAACGCTTCTCCTGAAACCAGAATCGGTACTGTCAAAGAAGACAGTTGAAGTAGGAGGGGCTTCCATACCACTTTTCATCAGACAGATAGGAGCATTTGCTCCTGAGTAGTCACCGATACCAAACACCGATACCACAAATACTTTTGATCCATAAAATGAACAAATAAGGCAATGACAGAATACGATCTTGATTTCTTTCTGCTCTCATCAGCAATTTTACTGAACCACAATGTGAAACTGCAAAGCCAAAATTTTAGAAATTATAGGAACATACAAGTACAAAAAGTAGGCAACAGGTGAATGCATTGAGCTCCTCTGTGTTGCATGTGCTCCAGCTAACAGTGAAAAATGAACCTTTTTGGTGGGCTTTTAATATTTTCAGCGTGCACATGGTTGACCGGAGTTGTTGAAGTTGCTGTGCGTCACCTCTGAAATTCCTGAAGACTTCCAAGAGGTGCTGACATTCCTCGATGATCTTGTCCTCGCACGCCTTCTTTCCCATCCCAAAGTCTCTCAGGTTGGTCAAAGTGAAGCGTCGCATCTCCTTCCACGACTCTCCGTTGTTCCACAGGACACCTCGGGTGAGCCACACGAGGTCACGCATTCACTTCCCGGGCTGGCCGTGCACTCGATCGTTGCCGTGTTGCTTACCGTGCTCTAGCTTGACCTCCTTGGCGGTTTTCAGAGGTTCTCGTTCTCCGAATTCTTCAGCGTGCTGGATCAGGGCCTCTTTCACTGTCTTATATCCGGCCAGAACCACCACCTTATTGGGGCCCATGTGGAAGGTGAACACCGGACCGTACTTCTTGGACATCTTGGACCAAAGAGGTGAAAGTGCGCGCCAGAGTGAACAAAAAACAACAAAGCAAACTAACTGGTTGAAATTCGTTGTTGCTATTTTTTTTTTTTACTTTGGAAGGACACCAAAAGGGTGCAACCTGGGCTACAGTCCCAAAGTGCACAAATCATAAGTCCAAAAGTTCACAAATAAAATTCCAGGCTCATTATCGCGCATCACGAATGAAGCCTGTTGCGGTATAAATTGCGTTTCAAAATAAACGCCGTGTTCGAATTTATTTACGACTTCATATAGTGGACTAAAATGTCCAGTGAAAATCCCAAAGTAGTGACTCGGGAAAGGGTGAATGGTAACGAACGCCTTCATTCGCAACGCTCCGATCTAGCGCGTAAATAAAGGTCGTCCGCGGGGTGCATTCGAGGACGCTCACCTGCAGGAGGGTCTGGTGCGGTCCGTTCAGGTTGAGCTGGAGCAAGTTCCCGAGCAGCGGCAGCGGCCTGGGACCTGGGGGCTCCTGTCCGCCGGACTCCGGTGACCTGGAGGCCGACGACCAGGCCATGTAGCCGACGAGCAGCACCAGCGCGGAAGCGAGCACGTAGCTGGAGCTCAGCGGCAAGAAGGCGACCGAAACGTCCATGTTTACGAAGCTAAAAAAGACGCCCCCGAACTTCTCCGTGTGCGCGTGACAGCTCAGAAAGTCACTGAGGTCAGACGGACCAGCCTCCACTCGCAAAGTTTCAAGTCAGGCCAGCCTTCCACTCGCAAAGTCCAACCCACATCAGGGCGGGGCGCGACGGGAGCTCAAGTCGAAAACGTCCCGCAATTTCTGCGTCGTTCGTTTTGGAAACACGATGAAGTGTTGTTGGTGTCCTCCTCAGAATCAATCACAAGAAACGGCCAAACGCGCACACAAGATTTGGCCACGACTTTGGCACGTGCCCCACACTGCTCTGATCAATATTGCTTATCCTGAAGAGGGTCGCGGGTACTTGCTGGAGCCTAACCCAGCTGACTTCGGGCGGAAGGCACACCACACCCTGAACTGGGCACCAGTCAGGCGCAGGGCTCATATGGAGACAAACAATCATGCACACCCACATTCACACCGTCACTGAGTGGGACCCCATCCCGCGCTAGCTGCACCCAAGTCCTGCTCGAGTATCACGAAACCATTAGCGACTGAATATGGCGTGCGTGGAGGAATTGGTGACATGTCGAACCCCCCCGCACCTCAACATAGTTGCATTGTCCTTAAGTTGTTGTATAAAGTCATTTTAATTAACTAAAAAAAAAAAAACAAACACAAATTTCACTCCATAATATTTATGAATACATATCGTAACTCTGAAAAATTGAAAGAATGATTAGTTAATTTCTCCCCCTTCTGGTGCATGTGTGTGATTTGGCCACAAGGTGAGAGTATAATACAGGTGTCAAAGTCAAGGCCCGGGGGCCAGATCTGGCCCGCAACATCATTTTATGTGGTCCGCGAAAGCAAATCATATGTGGCAACTTCCATGACCCTTGCTTAAATTCGTACCAAATTTTCAAATTGTCATGCAATAAATAACTGACATTTTGCGATAACTTTGTCACCCGGTTTACACTCACTTGAACAATAATTGAACAAATAGTTAAGTTTCAAGTCAGGCCAGCCTTCCACTCGCAAAGTCCAACCCACATCAGGGCGGGGCGCGACGGGAGCTCAAGTCGAAAACGTCCCGCAATTTCTGCGTCGTTCGTTTTGGAAACACGATGAAGTGTTGTTGGTGTCCTCCTCAGAATCAATCACAAGAAACGGCCAAACGCGCACACAAGATTTGGCCACGACTTTGGCACGTGCCCCACACTGCTCTGATCAATATTGCTTATCCTGAAGAGGGTCGCGGGTACTTGCTGGAGCCTAACCCAGCTGACTTCGGGCGGAAGGCAGACCACACCCTGAATTGTTCACCAGTCAGGCGCAGGGCTCATATGGAGACAAACAATCATGCACACCCACATTCACACCGTCACTGAGTGGGACCCCATCCCGCGCTAGCTGCACCCAAGTCCTGCTCGAGTATCACGAAACCATTAGCGACTGAATATGGCGTGCGTGGAGGAATTGGTGACATGTCGAACCCCCCCGCACCTCAACATAGTTGCATTGTCCTTAAGTTGTTGTATAAAGTCATTTTAATTAACTAAAAAAAAAAAAACAAACACAAATTTCACTCCATAATATTTATGAACATCGTTCTTGACAAGCTTCCCATCCTTATCCAGAAAGTGGTCGGGGTGGAAGGAATACGGCTTTTCCCACTCGCTCTCGTCATGGAGGACGGACGTCAGGAGGACGTAGACGGTGGTGTTCTGCGCAACAGTAATCTCGAGAGACAGTTCCAGTCCTGAGAAAAGGTTTTAGTGTACCAGTCTTACCTTCTTGATAAAGTATCCTCGGAAGGTGACATCCTGGCTGGTCCGGTGAGGGACGGCTATGGGTGCGATGTTGGCCAGCCTCTGCGTCTCGTGGATGACGGCGTCGGTGAAGGGCAGGTTCTTGCGGTCCTCCACCCGGACCTGACGATCCCCGATCACCATGCGTACCTCCTCATGGACCTTGTCTTTGTGGGTGAGCCAGGCCTTTAGGTTATGATGCAGAATACTTGAGGTCTTTTTTTTTCTGGTCTTACCTTGGATGTCAGGATACTTGGCCATGAGAAGCAAGGACCACCTGAGCGTAGCAGCCGTGGTGTCGGTGCCGGCGGCAAAGAGGTTCTGAACTGTCCACATCAGGTTTTCGTCATGGAAGTGACTGTTGGTGATCCCGCTCTCCTGAATGCACCAATAGACCAGCCATTAAGCAAAAGATGTTTCAGAGGTTGCCTAAAGGCACCTAAAGGACTTTCAGACCACGAGATACCAAATTCTTGGGTCTGACGAGACAATCGTGAAGTCTTTGGTGTGACTGCGAGTCGCCACATGATCACATTTTCCAAATTAATCTGGACTGAGGGGAAAATGAATGCTGTCAATTTCAGAAGCATACTGGATGAAAACCTGTTCCGGTGCATTCTTGACCTCAGACTGGCCTGACGGTTTATCTTTTTCGCAGTTTTATCAGCCCTACGCACACAGCTAGATAGGAAAGGAGTGGCTTCAGGATAACACCATGAATGACCGGTACATGACTCAAATCTGAATATCTTTTCCTTCGACCTGCACAACTTTTGGGGGATTTACCTTGTACATTACCGTTTATTTTCCGCACTATGAAGTGCACCTAAAAGCATTCCATTTTCTCAAAAGCCGACAGCGTGCCTTATAATCCGTGGCGCCTTCTGTATGGATCAATATTCAGATTTTTTGGACGTAGTATTTTTAAATGTTATAGTTGCAGCGGTTGTGACATCTCTATGTAAATAAAGCTGTATTGTATTGTATTCCCTTTAGCGTAGCTCCATCTAGTGGTGTGCCCTATATATGAAAATAGGTTTAAAATGCGCCATTCATTGAAGGTGCGCCTTATACTCTGAAGCGCCTTATAGTGCGGAAAATACGATCGTTGTTTTAGTTTGACCGGTGCAACTTTTAAGGCATTGGGGGCGGTCGCGCTAGTCCTTTTTTAAACGATGCCACTTCAATCTTTGCACCTCCAGCTCTTGCTTGCGGATGAAGAAGGCATCCACAAGGCTTCTGGGCAAGAGCGGATTGAGGCTTTCCCTGAGTCGGCTGAACATTTCCAGAGTCGTCTTTGTGTAATCAGCCGTCAATCGGAAGAATTCCTTGTTCTGTGGCAGCCACTTGCCAAGCCACGGGGACAAGTTGAACACCTGGGGAGGGAAGTATGACCGTCACGCTAAAAGATTGCTATTGGAACGAGGAGCGATACCGTGAACGCCGATTTGACACATATGACTCTATGTTCCAGATGCATGAAGAATTTGAATGATGATTTCAGTACCTGGGCAGAAGGTGAGCCTGCCAGCTGGATTTTCCGGTTCATTCCGTCCACCATGGCGTTGAACTCGGGATCATCGTAGTTGAACCTGTCCCCGTAGACGATGGAGGTGATGATGTTGGAGACCGCGTAGTTGATTGGTTGCGTGGTGTCAAAGGCGTTGCCTAGAATACAAAATCATAAAAAAATAAAACAATTTTGACGTGTACTTTGAGATCCTTATCTGGAAATTGCGGATGTCATCCATACGTCTTCAACCCGCTTGTCTGTCCCTATTTATTTTTATTTTATGTATTTATTTTTAATTTTTATTTATTATTATTTTTTTATTTATTTAGGTATTTATTAATGACAATTCTCCGCATCAATGCAGTCCACGTTTTCAATTTAATATGACCATGTGACCAGTCCTGTTGTTTGTCAAGATGCAATCGACGACGGTTGGAAAACGTGTAGCCGTAGTGTCCCGTTAAACAGAAAGCCTTACCTTTGAAGTTCCTGACGACTTCCAAGAGGTATTGACACTCCTCGATGATCTTGTCCTCGCACGCCTTCTTTCCCATCCCAAAGTCTTTCAGGTTGGTCAAAGCAAAGCGTCGCATCTCCTTCCACGAGTCTCCGTTGCTCCATATGACACCTTGGGGTTGAAAATCAACTTCCATCATGGAGCGGTGCTCCAGAAGGTGATTTCGTCTGACTCACCGTGTCCGTCGTTGTACTGGCTCACAATGCGTAAGATATCTCTGTCCCCAAACTCCTCCGCGTGGTTGACCAGAGCTTCCTTCACCACCTTGTAGCCGGCCAGGACCACCACCTTCTTGGAGCCCAGGTAGACCCTGAACACCGGCCCGTACTTCTTGGACATCTGAGGATGTGGAAGACAACATGGTTAGTCCCTTAATGTCAAATTGGGTTTGTTTGACTGTTTCCAGCAGAGGTGGGAGTAAGAATTTGGGATATTGGGCTTTCAGGTGGACATTGTGAATTTCTTTTATTTATCTGACCTTCCGGAAATTTTTGAACACCAGTTGTTCATTTTTTTCCCCCCGCACTTTTTGCACATGCTGTTTGACAAGGACCTGAAAGGCAAAATTCATGTTATTAAATTCCTGTCCGTTAGCCAGTTTTGTGATTTTCAAACATAAACATGCAACACTTGTCAGATTATGAAATTCATGTCAAAACCAAGTGCAGCATTATGAATTCCATATCAAACTCAAGCCCGGTTTTTCATAAAGTTTTGCCAAGCAAGTCTTCAAATTGGCAATTCAGTCTAAATAGCCCGAGTCAAGTCATGTGACTCGAGTCCCCCACCTCTGCTCTTTCTAAACACAAGGAGAAGGCGTTTGAATGGTGTGGACCTCCACGAGGGTGTTGTAGGGTCTCTTGAGGTCCAGCTGCAAGAGATTCCCCAGCAGAGGCAGCGGTCTCGGGCCCGGAGGCTCGTTGGAGCTTTCCTGCGGGATATGCGTAAGATATCTCTGTCCCCAAACTCCTCCGCGTGGTTGACCAGAGCTTCCTTCACCACCTTGTAGCCGGCCAGGACCACCACCTTCTTGGAGCCCAGGTAGACCCTGAACACCGGCCCGTACTTCTTGGACATCTGAGGATGTGGAAGACAACATGGTTAGTCCGTCGATGTTCAGTTGGGTCTGTTTGACTGTATCCAGCAGAGGTGGGAGTAAGAAATTGGGATATTGGGCTTTCGGGTGGACGTTGTGAAATTATTTTATTTGTCTGACCTTCCGGAAATTTTTGAATACCAGTTGTTCATCCCCCCCACACACACACTTTTTGCACATGCTGTTTGACAATGACCTGAAAGATTAGCCAGTTTTCAAACAGAAACATGCAACACTTATCAGATTATGAAATTCACGTCAAAACCAAGTGCAGCATCATGAATTCCATATCAAACCCAAGCCCGGTTTTTCATAAATTTTTTGCCAATCAAGTCTTCAAATTGGCAATTCAGTCTCAATAACCCGAGTCAAGTCATGTGACTCGAGTCCCCCACCTCTGCTCTTTCTAAACACAAGGAGAAGGCGTTTGAATGGTGTGGACCTCCACGAGGGTGTTGTAGGGTCTCTTGAGGTCCAGCTGCAAGAGATTCCCAAGCAGAGGCAGCGGTCTCGGGCCCGGAGGCTCGTTGGAGCTTTCCTGCGGGATCCACGCGGAAGAGAGCGCATAGACCAGCAGAAGGACGCCGGCCGCCGCCAGCAGAGTTGCCAAGACGCCCCCGGACTGAAAAGGGAGGTCCAGGATTCCCATTTGTGGTCTGATGAAGGGCGAAGCTGCACAACAACAACAACGACACTAAAATGTTGAGACGTGAAACTTGACACAGTGGATAGAAGGAAAAGGGAGGTCCAGGATTCCCATTTGTGGTCTGATGAAGGGCGAAGCTGCACAACGACACTAAAATATGGAGACGTGAAACTTGACACTGTTGTGTTCAAATAAACGCGTGGAGTGGCTATGGTTACATGCCACAGACACAGTGGATAGAATAAGTAGGAGGAGGAGAAAGATGGGGGCTGGGCTCGTCGATCAGGTTTTGTGGCCCACATTTAGGTTCAAAGTTTTGCGTCCCGGTCGTCGTCAGGGTGTTCACGCATGGAGCGCCGATTTGACTTTGACGTCTGACAAATGCTGTACTCTTCTCGTCTTTGTCATGCAAAATAACGTTTTTTCCAAAGTAAAAAGAGACATGATTTTTTTTAGGTGGTACATTATAAAAATGACATTAAAAAAAAGGAGAACCGCTCCTCAAAGTAATTATACAGTCGTGAAAATTCTGCAGCGACTGTGATTTCAGTTCTTTTTAATACACTTTATATCCAGCAGGGGTGGCTATAATGCAAGTGAAGGCGCGTCATCATCAGAGATAAAACGCCACTTTGCAGCATACAGTACGTAAATGCTTTTTCGTGCACTTGATCAACTTTTTATGCTGAAATCGATGCAGTTGAGTTGCATGTGTGCAATTTCCTTTCTTATTGTATTGTTTTTATTTTATTTAATTAAAAATGTATTTTTCAGATATTTGTTTAGAACTCTGTGTTGTAATCAAAGTTAGTAAAAATTAAAACATGTCCGCAGCAGTTGTGACAAAGTGCATCAGTATCCTTTTCATATTGCAGACAGAAGACTTGTTACGCCTCACACCTCCGAACTGGCCAATCGGAGAGTAGCGTCGGACAGCTATACCCCCCTCGGTCCCGCCCCTCATTGTTGGCTCGACCAATGGGAAACCAGCCACCAGCACAGGTTACGAGCGACTTGGCAACAGTAAGGAGCGACCCGCATCGTTGCTTCTTCTCCACTGGCGGTTTAATCTTGTGGGAAACTGGCGAGGGGGCACTTGAATCAACATGACTCCGAGATTGCGAAGGAGATAGCCGATAGGGAGGTGCCGGGAAGGCCGGTGACGGCGGGAAAGGCTCACAAGAGGTAATTTATTCCCCCGTTTGAGAGGCAATAGGGGCCCGCGGTGAAACAAGATAAGTGTACATGAACGAGGGAGTCAAACCAAGGATGTCCGGCAGTGATTTTCAAAGTTCAAACACTCACTGCTAGATTTTGATGCCTTACGTTTATTGACGGTCCGATGTGATTGAATGCTTGATTATTTGAAACTTCTAATTTGTTTGTTAGCAATTTGGTCTTTGTCGATTGTCCAAATCGTATATTTGTAGGCTATGAGCGCTTTACGCTGAAGTGAATTGTACGCTATTTCCGGTTTTATAAGTCATGTAATCGCGATTTTGACAACAGTTGGATGTAAAGGGATGAAGTTGCAAAGGCTCGCAACATCAAAACAAGACAAAACTAAACAGGAGCGCAACTGAGGGGTTTTTTTTGTTGCATTTTTGAATCTTTTAACGCAGTTTTGACCATTACGTCTTTTTCAACGTCTTTTTCGTGACGCCGGCGCACGATGTGGTGAGTTTGAATTGACGACGTTTCAACGGATGTGTCCTAAAAAAAAAAAAAGAACAACGACAACAAAAATGAAATAATTTTGCAGTCATGCTACAAAAATGCTACACGTTTACGGAATGCTTGTTGTTTATCAGATGACTTAAAAAGAAAGAGAGAAGCATCTCTATATCAGAGTTCCAGTGACCAGACGTCGCTTTCTGGGGGGGACCTTTGACGTCATCGTCACAGTTGCAGTGTTGGACCACTTGTCGACCCCCATTTCTATTTTTAAATAGTTTAGGTCTTTTGCCAGTCAGTTCTCAAGTGATTTGACGAGTTTACTTCGTTTTCTATAGATTAGAGGCAGCTCGTTTGAAGTTTTCATGTTGTACTCAAGTGTTGTGTGAGACATCGGAAAATGTGTTTGTTGTGTTGCTGATATTTACTCTTGCTGTTGCTACGTTTCTCAGCATGTTCTCAGCGAAGCAAGGCGCAGCCAGGAGGATGTTCCCGTAGCGGGACTCGTCCGTCCGTCATCCTCCTCTTCCTTGTCCCCCCCATGACCGGACCTGACCCCCCGAACCGGGTGGCAGCCCGCTCAGCCAAGCTGAGCCGGCACGGACGCTCCAAAAGCTCCAGTGCCCACTGCCTGCTGCGCCGGGCTGCCCGCGAGGATTCGAGCGAAGGCAGCAGCCCCAACCGCGAGGAAGAGGAGAAGGATGGAGGACTGCTCTTTCACGTCAATCGCGCCGGCTTCCCCATTGAGGGGGCCACCTGGGAGAGGATGTGGGCCCACGTGGCCGCCGTGCACCCTGAGGGCCAGGAGATGGTGGACGCCATACGCAACGCTGCCTACCTGCCCAAGGTAAGATTGACCGTCAACCCTTGTTTGTTGCGTGGGAATACAAAAAAATTGTCACTATACTGAGACTGCAAAGAAATAATTTTCCGTGAGTCATTATAGTGATTTGCGAGTCAGCTCGCCTAGCCAATGAAAAGTGGACTTGAACAATTTAAATATTGGTGGCACAAAACGAGTGACCGATTCAAACGTCCGCGCCAGCAAATATGTCCAGAGGAAGTTGAAGCATTTGTTTTCCCAATTTTCGTTCACACATGAGCACATGCGCACAAACAGCACACCAACAAGAAGAGGAAGAACAAGCGCAAGCATTTTTTTCCTTGCCAGCCGCACATTCCAAATCATTCAAAAACAATCATCCATTATGAGAGTACTAATGCTCCAAGGAGTTGGACATCACCCACAGACAGGAGGAGAAGCGCGCCGACACACACACACACACACACACACACACACACACACACACACACACACACACACACACACACACACATGCGCACACACACACACACACACACACACACACACACACACACACACACACACACACACACACACACACACACACACACACACTTTTTCCAGGGTAGGAAGTTTAGCCGTTGCCACCGCTGCAGCGGCCTCCATCTTGTCAATCCCAAAAGCCGTCTGTGACCTTTGTGGACATGACAATCGATGTGAAAACTTGACCACAAGACAATAGCTCCTAACATGAATGTGACATCTCCCCAAATATTGACACCACTTCAAATGGTCTTCGGTGTTAACAAAAGCATGAGTCGGAATTGTTTTTTTTGTTCAACTCTTAGACTTTTGTCATTTGTAAATCATTGATCGTGTAAAATAATCGCATGTGATCTTTTTTCCCCCGCGCCCGCTCGCAAGCCTTCGCGGCGGTGATGGTGTTTCGTGTCGCGCAGCGGTGTTCTCGCCCTCGCGCCGCCTGCGTGGCCTGAATTACACAAAGAAAATAATCCCTCCAATACAATCTGGCCAGCGGATAATCTCTGGACGCCAGCAGGACTTTGAATGGGCGTGGCACGCACCAGCCCGCTTGATACGCGATGATCGTCCCGTTGTTTCATTGTCAGGGAGGTCTCGATCGCGCTTTCTGTTTTCCTCTTTGAACGCAGAGAAGCGGGATTAAGAGGAGGAAGAGGGCGGACAAAACCGGAAGGGAGACAATTTAATTGTGGGGCTGATGCAGCTGGCCCGGCAGGAAGCGTGACTCAACACTCGCGGCGTCATTGACTGCAGGTTTGCACGTGCAAACGAAAAAAATGCAAAATGAGAGGCGACGGGAAGAATGCATCTCTTTGTTTGTGTAAACACTTTCTGAAATGCCAGAAACATCAACCACGGGGACTTGGAGTTTCTCTTTCGGTCGATCACGTGACATGAGACGACATGAAATCATAACTAACAGCTCTCATTTCTCTCCCTTGGCAGCATCACGTCCCCCCGCTGCCCACCTTCAAGCCAGCAATGTCGGTGCCAGACTGGCTTGTGGTGGTCCAGAATTTCATGAAGGCTCTGCAGTATCCTTATTTGGTGTGTGTGTGTGTCATTTCCCATTGTCGGTGGTGGTGGTGGTGGTGGGGAGGGGGGGGGGGGGGGCGGGCGTTAAACATATCAACATGTCATAAGTCACATGGCGCGAGGTTAAAAGTCGAGTTTCCTGACTGCTGTGATGATGTGATTCAGAGTACACCGGGAACTCAAATTGGAGCGCATGTTCACTAGAGACACAGTGAGAATTTTTTGGTTTTGTTTCTTTTAACAAAAAGGTATGAATTATAATTATACTGTCTAAGATGGGAATTCACCGCTTTCAGGGACGGCTTATCATGTACAGTGAAACTCCTCTACAACGAAATCATGTTTGCAGCAAGAAGTTTTTCACAACAGGGTTGTTTTTTTTTTTCACTGTAGCAAATTTGTATGAGCATACACTTATTTGACACTTCATATAGTCAGCGTAGAAAGAAAAAAAGGGAAAGAAATTGCGAAATTTACGATCAGCATTCACTTTCACTTACATCAATTTCTTGGATAATGTCTTTTATTTTGCATGAAGATTTTTTTCACACTAGGGGGTATTTTCGCCCATGTACCGGTAGGTTTCGTTGCAGAGGAGTTTCACTGTAATCAGGTCACGGGGTGCATGAAAGGTTTAAGAAGTAAAGGGAAGAAAAGGGTTTAACAAAATGCCCATCCTGTTGTTCACATGCAGAATTAAGCACTGCAACTTTTTCGCTCAGAATTGTCATAATGTGACAATTTTTCTTTCTTAAAATTATTTTCTTTTGGGTGTTTGTGAAATTATCAGTCCCACTAAACATTTTTGGGGTTGTCTTCATTTTCAAGCGGTAATTTGTAATTTCACAGTGAGTGTTCTGAGTTTAATAAAAATAAAAAATCATAAACGTCTAAAAATTGTGCTGTTAAAGATCATACTTGTAATTTTGTCACTAGAAAATCAATTTCTTAAATTTGGGAAAACAGACCACAGGGCGGATTTTGAGTCCCAAAATACGAGGGGTGTCCCAAAAGTTTCGGGCCTGAACAACATAATGGCCCTGGAGTTGATTTGATATGTTCCATCGATGTTGCGCATGCGCAAAGTCCGTCCCGGAAGCAGGTTTTGATCTCAGCATGTCGCACATCTTCATCAGAACCAAAATATCGACCACCAGGTTCATGTCACAGTCTGGGGAACAAAACCGAGTCCGAAGGGGCCAAATGTGCTGAGGAGGGAGGTTGAGGAAAAGGGTCCGCTATCCGCACTCGCCCGCAGTCCTCATTGAAAGCTGGTTGAACCTCTTCCGAAACCAAACACCACGTCCAAGTTCCCGCCGACGTTGAAAAGTACTGGCGCGTTGATCGCTGGTGATTGAGCAGCACCAATATTCGGGCCTCTCCGCTGTAGCCAACACAAATCAAGATGGCGTCCTTGTGAATTTGTTTTCAAAGGTGAGGCCGGACGCTTTTGAGACACCACATAAGGGATTCTTGGAAGATTTGAGTTGTAGCGTCGTTTCGTATAGGAGAGCGTTGTTTCACGATACAAGCGTCGGTTTTTTTTTTTTTTTTTTTCTCCAGGTTAATGGAGACGGCGCGGGAGATGGTGCGAGAGTCTCTGCCAATCAAATGTCTGGAAGCCGTCATCCTGGGCATGTATCCTTTTTCACAGCAACAGCTGCGGCGCTTTTGCCTCGCCCTAATTGGACGCTTGACCCCCTACTGAACCCAGAGACCCCTTTCTCCATCTGAACAAACTGTCCCTCAATTAACACACACACACACACACACACACACACACACACACACACACACACACACACACACACATGCACACGCGCACAAATGGGTCGGAGGTTTTGTGTGCATGTGAAATCTAGCTGACAAGTTGCTGCACTCGGAGCGCGCCACGCCAGCGCCGGCATCCTCTGCTGTTCTTGCTCAACCTTGTTGCCAAGCAACAAGAGCTCACTTCAAAGTTCCCCACTGTCCCCCCCCTCGCTCCCCTTTACCACACATGCGCGTGCACACGTAGTTTCGTTGTCTTATATTCGCAAAGGTTGAGTTGTAATCATCGCCCATTTGCAGCTGAGAATGGATTTTTATTTGCTTGACTGTAGACAGCAAGTAAAAAAAAAAAAAAAAAAAAACAAGAAAAATAGCTCAATTTTTAAAGACAGACTACAAATTGTACAATAATGTAGTCATAAATAACTGGACAAAATCTTCTCCAATCCGCATCCTTCAATCAATTCAAGATGGCGTGAGCTCGCCCATATTTGGCACTGATTGCTCAGGAATGCAGCAGGAAGTAGCCTGGTACCTTTTCGTGCTGGTAAGGATGGAAGAGAACCGAACAGAAAGTCCCTACAGAGGACAAGACGTGATCCACTTGAGGTGCGGCTTTGAGGTGGAACGGTCCAGATAACCCACTCGAGGGTTTAGGTCTCGGTTTTGGGGCCACCCGCGTGGTACGTTTTAAGTCCAGAATATTAACTTGTTTCGAGTTAACCATGACTTCAATACAACTCTTTCGAATGGTAAACTGCCTCTTCCTTTCCTACTCCTTGACGAATTGGAGACACGCGACGTTAGAGTAGCATCAAATATTTCCAGCTAATTAAAACAAACAAACATGAAAAAAAACCACTCCGTGTGTAACAGTTGGATTGCACGTGGGTCGGTTGGCCTTGCCTGCACCGCATTCAGCAGGCATGACAAATGACACACATCGAACTATTGTCTGAGTCGCTTCGCCGTGTTGATTAATTGCATTCTTTGATTGTATTTAGATTGTATTCACATTCATTCTTTAATTACAGTCCGTAGCCTCAAGGCAGACATATTTGCGTCACATTTTAAACAATTTTCTACCATCTCTGCTAAAAAAAAAACATCATTTTGGTTTGATTGTCACTAAAATAAAAGAAAAGCCATGCGCACACACATGCTCAGGCGCATTTTTTTTTTCATGCCTGACGGTCCAATGCAGTTGGATGCACAGTCTCACTTCACTTCTGTCAGTGGCAACATCAGGCTCTCTCACAGGCTCTGTCTCACTGTCTGCCTTGATGTTATTCGTCTGTGTTGTGCCGGATTAGGATGTAATGTTCCCCCTCCCCTCTCTTCATTTTCAACTATTGACTCATGGTGATGGAGAGGAATACACATTCCAGCAACCCAGGTTCTAAATAAGATTCACCGTCACCGGCAACTGTTGAGGGCTTGCTGGGTTGTGTGCTGGAACCAACTGAACCGAGGTTCATAATTAGCTGGAAGTGAAGTGGCTTGAATGTTCCCCCCAGTGAAATTGATTTGAAACGCTATTATGCATATACAGTCAAACCTCGGTTTTCGAACGTCTCGGTTCTCGACCAATTAGGTTTTCGAACAAATATTTCGAGTTTTTTATGCCTCGGATGATGAACAAATTTCGGTTCTGGAACAACCTGAGCGCACTTGAATGCACTATTTGACTCCTCTCACCTTCCTTACACGAGGAAGTGATGCTTCCTTGTGTTGCTTGCCATTGTCAGCAGACGTGTTCAGGAAACATTTTTATTTTAAAAAGAACGTGATTTCGGTTTTCGAACAATTTCGGTTTTCAAACAGCCTTCTGGAACGGATTATGGACGAAAACCGAGGTTTGACTGTACAATGAAAGGTTTTAAAAAGGGTTGATATGGCGCAGTGGAGTCCGAAAAGGCCTATCATGTACTGTACTGTTGTTGCTCAGAAACAAAGGGAAAAATGCTGTCCAAACACTGCACAGTGTATCTTTATTTACAGTAGCCTCTTCAAATTGCTTGTGTTAAAAAACGGGAAAAGAAGCGGGTCACCGAAGTCACATTTGTTTCGCGTTATTTGTATTTTTCAACCGTAAAATTAAATCGGAAAAAAAAGGAGGCAGGCCCCAGCGAGAATTGAACTCGCGACCCCTGGTTTACAAGACCAGTGCTCTAACCACTGAGCTATGAGGCCACATGCCTCTCAGAGCTCACTCTTCACTATACGACTACTCACCAGATAGAATTCGTCGGATGGGATTCTATTTCGCCTCTGAAAGTAACGTGACCCCCTCCGAGCAAAATGTACAAAAGTGTGATTTTTTTTTTCCGGCTGTGTCACTGTCCCATGACGAGTCCGCGAGCTGCTTCCATAAACGGGCCATTCATTAGTCACGACACGGATATTAGCATTTTCACTTCAGCTGCTTTAACACTTTTGCAGATCCATTACTATTAGAAAAGCAAGAAAGAAAAAAAAAACGATTGGATTCTTTCCAGCTGGCGCTGGTTTGCTTTGTTTGCAACGCCGACAACGGTAGATGACGTCATTCACACCAGACACAGATGGCTGGCTTGATCCCGCGATAATTGCAAAACGCGCGAGAATTGCACTTCTTTCAAAACAGAATGTCAAGATTGATAGATAAATTTCTTAACATTCAAAATAAAACAACTACAAAATATACACAAAAAGATTGATGACATTCAAAAAGGTTTAAAAAAAATACCGAGGTAGAATAGACAACTCAATTTTATTCATTCACAAAGTGCTTTACAAAAGTACAAATTGGACATATAAAAATGAAGCCAGTTCAAACAATAAATTAATCAACTCAAAACAGTAAAGACAACAAAACACCAAAACAATAGAGTCAAAAGCTAAAAAATAAAAAAGTGATTTAAGACGAATTTTAGAGTTGGCCGGCAATGAAAAAAATCTCCCATCACCTCTGAGGCTCCGCTTAGTCCTCGATATCTCCAGTGGTGTCTGGTCTGCTCTACAAGTCCATATTTTATTTAAAATCGGTGTTAAACTGTTTTAATTTGTTGTTTTGAGTGACATGACATTGGCAGCATTTGACAACTTTGCCTTCCTACTGCTGTACTTTGTTGCCTGTACGCAGCGATGCAAATTTGATTGTGAAGGCAAATCCTTACATGGCTGCGTCCAGCTACCTGACCAACGGCCTGACGTCGCTGGAGCGCTTCCCCATCAGCTTCAAGACGCAGTTCTCGGGCCACTGTTTCCACCACGTGGTCCTGGGCGTCTACTGCAACGGACGCTACGGCTCGCTGGGCATGAGCCGGCGCTCGGACCTCATGGACAAGCCGCTCAACCACCGCACGCTTGGTGAGCTGGTGGACGACTTTGAGAGCTCCTACAAGCGATACCAGCACAGCCTTAAGAAGGCACGTCTATAAATTGTCGCGTGTTCGAAAATTTAAAAAATGATTTCAACTATAAGTATGTGCGCGTTTTGGGCCTTCAGGTGAAGATCGGCCTGTACGTCCCCCACGACCCTCACGTGTGCCAGGCCATCGAATGGAAGTACCTGGTCCTCAACGCCACCAAGATGGCCGCTCCGGAGATGAGGCGCGAGCTGGAGAAACACGGGCGAGACATGAGGATGAAGGTACGCGTGCACACATCGTGCGCGCCAAGTGTTGCGAGATGACTGACCTACATAACTTATGACATGCAGCCAACTCCATGCGCCGTTATTTGACACCCGCCATCCTGACACGCACACGCTTAGCCAGCACAAGCTCGACAGCGTCAGCTGTTTGGGGCTTTGCTGTGATCGCCGCGTGGGTCCCGAAGTTTTCTTTTTTAACGCTTCGAGGGCCAGCGGTTTTTACAGTGGACAGCTTGTCACGTTATCAGGTTACATGATTTGTGCATGAAAGGGTTAAATATACTCCAGGGTTTATGTGTCCTAGTTGTATTTTTGTCAGCTTTGCCATGTTGAGATTGGCTAAGGCTAGCATGTATTCATGTTTGCGTCGTAAAAAAAAAAAAAGAAACTTAAAACGATGACAAAATGTGGCCAAGTGTGCAATATTAATTTTTGGGAGAGTTACCAATGGAGTTTCAACGCAATCGAATCCATTCGAATGCCACTCGCTAAAGTCCACGCGAGTGTAGTGTTCTGCTGCGGGTCCATATCTTGACATGATATGTCACCGCCCTTCTCTTCTGGAATACTCTGACCAAAAGTACCGTATTGGCCCGAATATAAGACTGTGTTTTTTGCATTGAAATAAGACTGAAAGAGTGGGCGTCGTCTTATATTCGGGGTCGAGACATTATACCATTCACGACGCGAGATGGCGCCAGATATCATTGAAGCGAATGCTGAACTTGACTCCCCAGGCCAAAGTGAACCCCTGTCACGAAGAATAAAAATAAAAATAGCGGTAGCATGAAGAAGAAAAATTAAAAATAGCGGCAAGAAAGAAAAGAGAAGAAAATAATGGAAGAGATAACAGAAAATGGAGAAACATAGCAACAATCTGGAGAAAAGTGGGTCGAAGATCGGTCAGGTTAACCGGCAGCTGAGGAGAGTTATGATGTCATTTACATTTCAAAAACCAAAAGCCATTCATTTACGAATGTGATTGCACTTTAGTTTACATATTTAAATGCTCAGATATTAAGATTTGTATGAGGCAAAATAACATGCATTTTCTCTCAAATATATTGTTAGAATCATTTGTTTCAGATGGACTGTAATTATTTTCTGTATAAAAATTAATTTGGTGTTCAAAAAGTCTTTTTTCAAACTTGAATCTTGAAAAAGAAGGGGTCGTCTTATAATTAGGGCCGTCTTATATTCGGGCCAATACGGTAAGTGGTTGAGAAAATTTCTGTTTCAAAAAGGAGGCACTCAGCCAGCGGCCTCAACCAGAAGGAATTGCTTCATTTTCTTTTGATAAATGCGTGTGGAAGTGAAACTTGGCACCTTTTAACATGGGGAATTTGTTACATTGACATGTGACATTCGTTTTATCCAGGTGTGAAATTTGTCACGTTAAGTAACAGTACTCTCACTTGAGTACAGTTTGTGGCTACTCAAACGCACGCACGCACGGGATGACCCACTAATCGAAACCGACAGCGGCGAGCTGCAGCTGTTCGCACTGTGCCAGGAAAAGCCGTCACGCATCCCTGTTAAGTCGGCACTTTTTTGTCACCTGCTGACTCCTTAATGCCCACACACGCACACAAACACACACACGCACGCGAGTGCTACTTTTGTGTGCTTTGATTGATCTGGACAGCGAATGGTCACTGTGACTTTGCGGATTTCAGATCCTGAAGTCGTCAAGCGCTCAGTCTCCCATCAAGGAGCGAAGTCGCGGCAAGTCGCTCTCGCCGCGCCGCCACCGGCAGGGCGGCAGCCCGCAGCGACGACTGGGGCGACGCAGAGACAAGTCGTAAGTCGGACATGGCGTCGTGCAAAATGAAACGGCCGCGCATTGCTGCGTGTGTGTGTGTGTGTGTGTGTGTGTGTGTGTGTGTGTGTGTGTGTGTGTGTGTGTGTGTGTGTGTGTGTGTGTGTGTGTGAGAAATAATGTGTAAATGTACGTGTGCACGAATGTGAACGTCAGCTGTGCGGCGGAGAGGAAACACGAGCCGACTTTGACAACAGCTGCCAGTCAGAGACGACGTGGCACTGCCTCGCGTTACCGTGTGTGTGTGTGTGTGTGTGTGTGTGTGTGTGTGTGTGTGTGTGTGTGTGTGTGTGTGTGTGTGTGTGTGTGTGTGTGTGTGTGGTCAGTAATTCGAGAAGTGCAAGGTCTAGAAAGAGTGGACAAGGACAACATTTGTGTTATAAAAACAAGATAAAATTTTTAAAAAAGCACACAATGACAGCAATGTGATGTCACAAATTTTCACGGTGAAATTGTCAATGCTTGTTCGCATGCATTCGTGTGGTTGGTATAATCAAGTTTTCCGGAAAATAATTTGTGTCGCATCTTGTCCAGGCCGGCGTGCGTGGAGACGAAATCTCCCGAACTGAGCACACTGACCGACGGATACCAGATCCGAATTTGACTTGCGGATCATTTCCGGACTTTCGCTTCTTGGCCTTCAGCAACGACGTCAACCGTAGCCAATCTCCTTCGACTCCGCCCACTTTGCACACAGCCAAAGGCACGTTTATGCAAAGCGTCCAATTACGGGAAACCTGCCGACGAGCTCATTTTGGCGCCAGCACAAATCTCCACGGCGACCACGACGGGCGATAATCAATCTCAGAACTGGTGGATTTCAGATTCATCCTGACAATTCAAACGTCTTCAACTTTCAGAACTGTAATGTCAACTTTTTCACTCGTTATTTTATTTTTTTGTAATTGACGTTTGAGTGTGATGCATTTTTGTTCCAATGAAGGCCGTTAGCACACACACACACACACACACACACACACAGACACACACACACACACACACACAAAATACAATGGAGCAAATGAACAAGTGGCCTGTTCTTAAAACCGAGATGTTTTGTATTTACAGTACATGCATCTAAAAAAAAAACAAAAAAAAGCGTTTTAGTGATTTTCAAGTCGAACGCAAAAAAAAAATCACGTGACCCCCACTCTGGAGTGTGTTTGCTTTTGTAGCTGTGGGAATCCACCCGCCCCCAACCCACCATTGCAACTATTGTGATGTCATCTGACTGTTACCACGACAATGCATGTCTTCAGCAATCAATAAAATGATTGAGCTTTTTTTGTGGTGGGGGGGTTGACGAGTCACTTCATTTGGCACAAGACAGAAATTCTCCCAGCAGTTATTTGAGATGGTCAGGAAGCCTTTGAATGAGCACCCTGCTTGTGATTGCGCTTGCAGTTTTCAGGAAGGTCGTTGAATGCGGTTGGTGTCAAACCGTCCCTGAAAGCGCTTTGGAAGGCGGAAAGAGCAAGGATGGCACACGTTGCCTCGGCAGCATGTCAGCTTGCCTTCACAGCTGATAAATCGGCTTTACTGTCGTCTGTGCGTGTGCGGCGGATTTGCAGAAATAATCCTTCATATTTCAGGGTTGCAGTACTTGAAAGATCAGGAAGCAGCAGGCACCCCGTGAGGATGATGATAATGATGAAGATGTGTACGTGTGTTCGCATGCGTGCAGTGGGCGAAGCGCAGGAGCAGGGGCAGGAGTGTTATGGTTTCAAATAACCCTTTCAAGGACAGCAGTTATTACAGTGGACAGTGTGTCATGTTATCAGGTTACACGGTGCATGAAAGGGTCTTCATCTTGGGCTAGGGTTTCAAAGCAGGGTTTGAAGTTAGAGTTACGGTTTCAAAGTAGGGTTTTAAATGAGGGTTAGGGTTTCAAAGTAGGTTTCAGGTTTTAAAGAAGAGTTAGGGTTTCAAAGTAGGATTTTAAACTAGGGTTATGGTTTTAAACTAAAGTTGGGGTTTCAAAGTTGTTTATTTTTTACCCTTTCAGGATCAACGGTTACTACAGTGGACAATTTATCATGTTACAGGTTATTGGTGCATGAAAGGGTTAAATATGGTTGTGATTCCAAATTAGGGTCTTATATCCAGGGTTATGTTTTATTTAGTAGTGGCTCTTTTGGCCATTGGATCGAATGTTTTGAAGCAAATATATAAAAACAAAACAAAACGGAAGAACAACTGCTGATTTGATTTTCGTTTTAAAACAGAAACACCAAAATTGAAATCCATCTTGATTTTCTCGTTTGTTGTCTAGATTCTAGACAGCTTTGGGAATCCTCCCGCCCCAACCGCCGGTCCGTCGACCGGTACCGGTCCGCAGGGCATTTGGTACCGGGCCGCGCAGAAAGAACTTGCTCTATTTCCGTTTTATTTATTTCGGAATACGAAAGATGTTTTATTTTGAAAAATTACCGGATTCTCCGTTACATCCGTCTGTGTCACGCTTGATTCACGTCAAGCTACGCTTCTCGGTCACGTGACCGATGGCGCTCAAAAACAAAACGCTGAAGAAAATGAGTAAAAAAGCTGCTTGGAGATCGCAAATGATGGCGGCCTTAAAAGTACGTTCGAGACAACTGGATTAAAGTTATGGCTGAATATTCTGAGATCGCCACAATAGCACTGTTGCTATTTCCGACATCCTGCCTGTGTGAGGTGGGGAGTTTCTGCAGCAAAGGTGACTAAAACAAAATTACGAAGTAGACTGGACATAAAACACACACTTGAGGTGTCATTGTCTCCTATTACCCCGAGATGGGACCGTCTGGTTGCAGAAAATCAAGCTCGGGGCTGTGGTGAGTCGTCATTTTCATGCACTTGGAATTTGCATTGTATCGTATTTTGAAGGCATTAAACATTACCATAGCGATAAGAGTGTTGCGACCAGATTAGACGCTCCTTGTGTTTATTATTATATTTCGAAAACACCAGAGTTTTCATGCAGCTCATACCATATTATTTTGTTGTATTAATCCGCCACACCTTAAATGCCGGTCCCTGGAAATATTGTCTGACTTAAACCGGTCCGTGGGGCAAAAAAGGTTGGGGACCCCTGGTTTAGAAGGAGTGAAGCAAAATGTTGCAACTCCGAGACAAAAAGAGCTGCGGTCTTGGGTTTTAATCGTACACTTTATTAATTTCATAAAGCTCCCAAACGAATACAAGCATGTCTCGTCCCCTCTCTTCGGAATTCGGTTTGAGAGGCGTTCAATGACCGCCTCATAAAAAAAACGTAAACTAACCATACCTTAAATGGCAACAAGAACATTTTAAAAAATGCACAAAAACAGAAAATCCAGCAAGGAAATCACAAAATAAATTCTATGATGGTGTTTGTGAACACACAACCAAGTATTGATTCTTTTTAACATCAACATAGACAATTCTGAACCAGCCCGGTCTCCTAAGAGTTTGATTTTCATTTCTTATTTCTCCAAGATAAATTGAAGATAGCGTGGGACAGAAATGGAAGAATTTCTCGTCTATTTTGCAGTCCCGAAAGTTGTCACCGACAGCATTTCTGATAGTGGCCAGGAGATGGCGACAACGCGACGCCTGAAGACGATAAAGTGTTGTGGAAATATTAGCCAGGTTGCCTTGCTTTATGATTCACTTTCATTTTTGTGGCGTGAAATTGAAGCAATTTCGATGGCAATCCAAAGCAGTCATCATGACAGATCACTAGGTAGCGCTAGTGCGCAAAGCACCGATCAACAAGCCGAAGAAGAAGTTTGGCTTGATTGGCAGATGTGGAGTCAGGGCTGCGGGTGAATTGGGAGACAGGTGTGCAAGAGGCGATTCATCAAGTGGTGAGCACCTGTGGGCAAGTTAATGACAAAATCAAGAGAATCTAGCGGAAATCGAATTTGCCATATATCAAATGTAAAAAAGGGAAATCATCAGGAATTGATGGTGTAACAATCAAATTTTATCAACATTTTTGGAACACAACAAAGATTTGCTACACGAGGCCTTTTCATTTTGTGCACCCAAATATTAGCATATTTGACCATTAATCACTCAGAAATTAATGCGATTACATTTGAGCATTATGAATTTCGACTCATTCAATTTGCGAATGACACGATTTGATTTTTAAAAGACAAATCAACAATTGAAAAGGCGAATCCTTCGGTCCATTTGTCCTGACCATATCCGTCATCTTTTTTTCTTTTTGCCATTTTATTCATCGAAGGATTAGCTTTGAGCTAATGACCGAGCGGGCTGATTCAAAAGGGGGCGTTTACCTGTTACCCAGAAATGGCCAACGTAGGCCAGTATCATCCAATTAAAATTGCTCCTGCCACCAACTGCAGCCCTGAACAGAACCTCAGCAGTGAAAAATCGATGGATGGACTCAACAAGCGAGAATATTTTATCTGCGAGCCAGATGCAATCATCAAAAGAGCCACATGTGCTCGCGAGCCATAGGTTCCCGACCCCTGCTATGGGGGCTACCTGGTGGTCGACTGGTTAGTACGCCAAAGACAAACTATGTGCACGGTAACGTAAATTCAAATGGAAACAAAGCGCTTGTTTGACAAATTGCCGAAAGTGCAACGACTCTTCAAACACCAAAAAAAAAACAACCCCGCATCGTGTTAAGAACAGTAGCCCTTTTATTAAGAGAATTATTTGATTTGCCTTTTGGTGCCGGATGATAATTAAAAAAATTATATCTATTTATATGCACACACATAATCTTCATGTATCCATTGTTTGGTCGAAAGTGTCCAATGTTTTGTTAGTTTGAGACTTCCACTTGCCACCTCCAGCTTGTCGGTAAAATCCAAAGGTTTTGTATTCAGTCTTCTATATTCTATATGAAGGATGCTAAGTAGCTAGCATGCAAGCTACCCAGCATTCAAGGTTTGATCTTCAATGGCCCGCCTCTAGCGTTCTAACGAGCCCAAAAATGCGAAATACCAGCATTCCAACATACAATAAGAATGACAACATTTGAACTACAGTCCTTTGTTGGCACGTCGGCATCACGAGCGCTCGCCGACCATCCATCGGAAGTGAGCAAGCAGCGGGAGGTGGTCTGATGAGTGCCGCACATTGGGCAGGCCGTTCACTTCCTCCAACTCGGGCTGGCCCACCAATAACAGCCTGTCCAGCAGCTGGAGGCCCCGCTCGCCGGGAAGCGATTCTGCGCGCAGAGGAAGGACACACGCGTGAAACGTTTCATGTCAATGTGCCGTGTGATGAAAGTAGGCGTGGCCGCTTGCAAGTGGGCGAACGTACCGCACGGCGTGTACAGGATGTAGTCCACCATCATGGCGCAGCGTGAGTGGCACGTGGTGATGGCGGCTCGCCCGTCCGGCGGTAGGCAAGGCGTGTAGCACGAGCGCAGCGGCACACCATGCTCCAGACGCCAACTGCGAGCGTGCGTGTGTACACACACACACACACACACACACACACACACACACACACACACACACACACACACGTTTTGGGGAAATATGCACCTTTTCAGAAACTTTTTATTTTTAATAACTTTTTGAAGATGGCCAACTTTATTTATTTTCACAATTATATAACTTTTTTCTCTGAATTATATGACTTACAAAAAATAAAAATCTAACTA